CACCACTAACTAGAACTACGGATCTACCGCCTGTTTTTAAATGATCTAACGAAGATCAATCTAACGATACGGCCGTAACCGGCGATACCATCGAAATAGGATTATTATCCCCTGACTAATCGGTTCTTAAAGAGGAATTAACCACTACTATTACCGCCGTTAATCCGGCATCCACGGCTCCTACTAAGTCTTTATAATCCTCTTCTTCTACTACCACGGCTAACTAAACTACTTCCATAAACAGAAGAAGCCGCCCTCCTATTATTCCAACGGCCATTACCTAAAGGCCTACTCGTAGCAGGCGTCTAACTAACCGTTATACCCCTCCTTCCTTTTATACCTTCTATAATTAGATCGAGATACCGAAGAAGCCGCTACTACGCCGCGATATCCCTAAGGAACCTCTGAACTAGTCTTAAGTGCTAAAGAGTCCCTATAAATTAAAATAGATTAAGGCCGCCTTATAGGAGGTCGGTACGCTTAGGTTAATAGGCACCTTTAAACAGTAGGAATAGTCCTACTAGTAGGGGCACGGCTCGGGACTACCTAAATAAGTTCTAAGGCCACTAAACCTTAAATAGGTTTTTAAGTATAAGGTCGATTCTACTAGTTATATTAATAAGTTTAAGGCACGCCTATATATTCGAGGGGATTAATAGCCTAATAACCACCTTAACGTCTACGCCTCTACCCTCGCTAGAAGGACCTTTAGGTTACTAATAAGTATTATAGCCTACTTCGATCTCGAGACTCGGTAACTTAACGCCGTTAACGTATTCACTAATACCCTGCTTAACGAGGAAATCTATATTAAGGACCCCCTTAGTTAGCAGTTACTCTAGTCGGCTATAGGCCTTAAATCCCACGAATAGCTCGAAGACTTTTTAAAGTAACGCCCTCCCATATAACGCAGAGGGATTTAACGGCTATACCGGGCGTTATATAGCCTTTAGCGTTCCCTAAAACTATAGCACTAACAGCTCTCTTCTGTACTAAGTAAGTACGGTTTAAAGTAATTAACCGAAAACAATTACGTCTTTAAGAATAAGGTCCTAATTACTTTCTTTTACGTTAACGATATTATCCTAATCTACTATAAGGAATATTAATCTACTACTAATAATCTAGTATAGAAGATATAGAAAAGCTTCTAAGTCAGAGATCTAAGACCACTTAAGTATTTCCTTAGAATCCGCGTAGGACGCGATCGTTAATAACGTAAGCTATAGTTATCGCTTAATAACTATATTATCGATAAAATAAAGGCGTTATAGGTGGATTATAGAGGTTATAGAGTTAAAAGCCTTTTCCTTATCCTAATATTCTATAGCCTACCAACTAATAAGTCTCCGAAGAATTAATCTATCTATATCTTCGGAAAGTCGGTTTTATTAACTACGCCGCCTATTAAACCCGGCCTAATATCTCTAAAGCTACTTCGAGGCTTACCGAATTTAGCACTAACCCTTTAAAACAGTATCACGAAGCTGCCGATAGGTGCCTAAAATATCTCGGCTCGATAAAGACCCTATACCTTTACTTCGGACCACGCAAAGACCACTAAAAGCCTATACTCTTCTATACCTCTAACGCCGCCTTCGCGGATAATCGTAAGACTAGGTATAGCTTTATAAGGGTACACGACCCTCCTATTCGGGGGTCCTATAGACTAGAAGGCTAATAAATAAATAAGCGTCGTAATCTCTAGTACTAAAGCCGAGCTTATAGCGCTTTTTACTACTACTAGGCAGTATATCGCGATAAGGCGTCTAATAAAGGACCTTACCCTTATAAAGAGGAACCACTAACTATATACTACGATAATTAATAAACTAAGTAACTACTAGAGTCGCCACGGCCTTAGGTTACCTTAAAATTAAAGTATCTCGATATCCACGCCCTTTAGATCCGATAAACCGTTTAAAAGGGGACTATCGCGATTAATTAGATCGCCACTAATAATCTAGTCAGCGATAGCCTTATAAAGGTACTTCCCCCGCAGAAACACAGGGCGTTTATATATCTGCTTAGTATAGAGGTCCCGCCGAAATAGGATTCAAGTAATTAATAAGAATAACGTTCTTCTATTACGTTTTTAATTAAAGGAAATCGGTTAATTAGACCGTTATTGTAATTGTTTTTATACCCCTATAGACTATTATTTAGATACTGCTTTTAACACTTTTTAACTGCTTTTTAGCTTTAACGCCTTTAACACCGTTAATTAATATCTAGGCCGATTTTACCCTAGATTTACGGCTTCAAATTAAGCAGAATAGTTAGAATTAATTCTGCAGTTCTAGGAGGGTATATTAGATACCCACAGCCACCTTATCAAGGTATAATAAACCATATTATATTAGACGTGTAGAGTACCTCGCTCCTATATATCCACCCTTATTTCCCCTGCTTTTTCCGTATAGTTAGACATCCCCATAAAGTATCATAAACTTCACTTAGATGAATACACACATAATTCCGCGTACCTTATTTATGTTCTGACAACAACCATTACACCGATCCGTTCACCCCATATCTTTTCCATATCCGTATATATTCTTTAAAACGCATACTATACTATTATTACATACTAGTAATGATATACTGAATATTGCAGATAGAAAAAAGAAATTATCCGTCTCAAGTATCTGTGTCAGACCAAAAACGTACCGCTACACCAAAAGGGAATTCCTCCACTTGTGTAGGTGTCTTATACAAGGTAGTGTAACAATCTGCGTAAGGTACTGAAACATCGGAACGACGACCAACCATGCCGCCTACCGGTTCCCGTTCTCACCACCTTATTCCCGTTGGCATTATCGTACTCCCTGCGCATTAATGAAGGCTCGATTTTGTTTTCCGAAATTTGGGAGGGAAAATACTCGTAGCACCTCAACAATGAACATGTTCCATTGCAATTTATTCTTGTCAATTGATGATGGAGAGGGAGTCTAAGTTTATGATAGGTAGTAGATGATATACCCAGCCATATACCCACTTCATACACTCTAACCCCTGTTTAATTGTTCAAAGTGTACTTACGGAGCCTGAATACATTAATAGTATCGCGATAACGAGCGGAGTAGAATATAACTAGATACATTAAGAGCAGGGATTTTTCTATATAAAATACAGGGGTTTAGATATACTAAACCAGGGGTACTTAGAATTCTGTTAATCCACCCTATAGCTCCTTAACACGTTTAAGTCTATATAGTATCGAAGTAATAAAGGACGTTAATAACTCTATAGGAACCGCCTCCCACGTAGCGTATATAGCGGCTTTAAGCGCGTAACCCGTAGGGCGTTATAGATAGTTAGTTATTATCTATCTTTTTATCTAGGTCTATATATTTTCGATCGGATTAAGGTCCGGGCTATAGGGTAGCCACTTAATCTAATCTGCCGTCTTATACTATCGCTCCTAGATCTTCTTTTAGGTGTATGTTAATGTAGAGATATAAGAGCTATCATATTAGAGAACCCGTTTCGGATCCTATAGCTAAAACTAATATAAAAGTAGAAGGATATACTCGCAGAAATTCTTACTTTTTATTATCTTCTATTCCTTCTTCTATATAAGATCTAGCCCTTTATACGTGCTAGTAGAATAGCCCTAAAATATCTAGCCCTTCGCCCGTATCTTCGGTTATAGGAAATCTTTAACACGTTCTTTGGGAAAGATCGTGATATATCGCTTTAAAGGCAGGCCTATAACCTAAGTCTTATCGGTCTAGATCTAACGATTCTAATCTTTAACGGTTAGGTAATCGTATTATTCGGTAAAGATACGGCGTTACTAGCGGTCGCGGGAATCCAGGGCTATTTTCGTAGGCTATAGGACCCTCTTAGTACTTATCGCTACTAGGGTACTCTAGATAGCCTTATTACTAAAGCTTTAAAGGAAAGGAATAGCTTACTAAAGCTTACTTAGGGGTATAAACCTCTTACTCTTTAAGGGCGTGTAAATTACCCGTTATAACGCCTCTTTAAACGGCTATAGAATAGCTCGCCGGCGGCCTTTAAGATAGTGACTAGGTTATAGGCGTTAGGTATTAAGAGTCTATTAAACCTGCCTTCTTATTAACCTAAGGATTTCTACGACTTTAGATTATATCTTATTTACTAGGTAATAGAGGTAATTAATCCGTATATAGTCCTTATAGGCTATACACTTTGCGGGGGATATCTAGGAACGGCTAGGTATATTTTCGGTAGAAGAAGTCGCGGATCTATTACTCGGAGAGGATAAGGGGTAAGGCCAGGTAAACTAACGCTACTGCTATTAAATAGGTTAGAATATAATAAAGGAAAGGAAGGGAAAGAATATACTAGCTTAGCGAGGCGTTTTAGGTTAATTAGTAAGCAGCTATTTAAGTCCACGGCGATGTTGATCGGCTTATGCCTCCTTTATAGGATCGTAAACAGGAGGCTTAAAATAGCCAGAATTATCCTCGCCCTTATTCTTTTCCTAGGACTACTCGGGAACCAGAGGGCTATTTTAGCTATAATTTTCCCTATTCGAACCCGGTATTATGTAGGGATTAGAATAGGATTTAGATTAACGTTAGCGATATAGGCAGTTACTGCTTCCACACTTCCCTCGATTCCTCTTATACGTGTAGGCATAACTATATAAAAGCCACGGTAGCTTTTAAGGTATCGTATTAGTCCTTAAAAAAGAATCGGAAAACACTTTTTATATAAGAATTCCAAGTACTAACTAAATCTTTCGCATACAAAATAACTATAGATTAATTCCAGGTTAACTTATAGATATTTAGTGATAGTGTTGAAAATTTTTATATCGTAGGTGCTGTTAGTGCAGGTACATTTCTCGAACCTTCTTAATTTTCCTAAAAGGGTAGATTGTGAATGTACCCCATTGAACAATTAAACAGGGGTTGTATGGTATAGTGCCAAGGCCCGGCAATAGGGGAGGACATCAAGTTAGGCTGCCTTGCATGCCCAAGGTAATTATAAGAGAACCCAAACTTGTGCTAGACCTCGTATTCCGACCCAAGCTTCATCTTCTCGAATTGCTCTATCGTCCTCTGGTAGTTCTCTGTCGCTGCTCGTGCATCGGCCAGCTTCTTCCTCTCTGCTGTGAGTACGACGTCACTGACTTTGTCTTCAAAGCCTTCCTTGGACATCAACTCCTCTTGCTTCTTTACGAATCCCTGGCTCTTCAGAAGCTTCGTTTGCACTTTCTTGATCTCCGCATCTAGGTTAGTGAGGCGGGATCCGAGTTCAAGGAAGACAGATATGTCCGCAGTCAGAACGAAGACGGCGCAGCCATCAGGGATCGCGTCGCCATTGGCATCAGGTCCTACGACCTTAACCTCCGCAACACCTTTTCCACAGAGAGATTTAATAGCTGGGGTTTGCTCCTCGATCTTGGTGTAGGCGTCCGTCGCAGAGGCTTTGATGAAAGCCAACCCATCCGAACGCACTCCATACTCAGAAGTAAGAGAGCGGATTGCCTGTGCACACTGCAGACCAAGCTCGTAATCGCGGGCATCTGCTTCAAATTCGAGGGCTGGGTCATGAACGGGGTAAGACGCTAGCATGATTGTCGGTGTCGTATCACCCTCGTGCTTCGGCAACCGTTGCCATAGCTCTTCTGTAATGAAAGGCATGAACGGATGCATGAGACGCAAAGCAACGTCCAACGCTTGGTAAAGAGTCTGTTGGACGCTGGCTTGGGCCTCGGGCGTCCCGTCGGTAAGAAGACTCTTGCTGTTTTCCTATTCAAAAAGCATCAACGACTGGGATTTTCGGCCTTCAGTTGTTGAACCATGGTAACTTACAATAAAGATGTCGCAAAGTTCGTCATAGAAAAACCTAAACAGACCATGAGCCCATGTTCCATGCGTTATTGTCGCGGATATAACACTCACTGGTATGCGAATTGTGTACTCTTGGAGAACTCGCGTGCCTCCAGGGACTCGTTGATCCCCTTGACAGCTGCATTCATGCGGTGCAAAATCCACCGCTCGGGCATGGAAAGCTTCGTCGTATCGCGGTTGGCCACAGGAGTGAAGTTCTCCGGCAGACGACCGAGTACGTATTTGCTTGCCTGCCAGATCTTGTTGCAGAAGCGACGATAAGCATGCATGACTTTGATATCAAAACTGATATCTCCTCCTGGACAAAAACGCAGTTATCATGTCAGTACAAAAACGAAAAAGAGCTCCAACAATGTACGAGTCGGGGCTACATACCACCAGTGGTATACGAGATCAAGGTCAACCGAAGCGCGTCAGCTCCACACTCGGGAATGCCGCCGGGGAAGGCGGTCTTCTGATACTTGATGGCGCGGCTGACTTCGTCCTCCTTCAGGTTGCCCACGTAGAGTTTTGCATGCAGCTCGTCTAGATCAATGCCGGAGATGATGTCGAGAGGATCGATGACATTGCCAAGTGACTTGCTCATCTTTCTCCCTTCCGAGTCGCGAATCAGGCTGTGGCAATACACCTCCTTAAAGGGAACGCGGCCGGTGAGCTTCAGGCTTAGCATAATCATGCGTGCTACCCAGAAGAACAAAATATCCCAACCAGTCTCGAGAAGACTGGTAGGGAAGAACTGTTTGAAGTCCAAGCTCTCCGTGTTAGGCCAGCCTAGAGTAGACATGGGCCACAGGCCGGAACTGAACCAGGTGTCTAGACAGTCGGGATCTTGCTCGAGACGGAACTTTCTACCCGAATATTTCGCTTCGGCTTTTGTCTGTGCTTCCTCTGGGCTCCTCGCAGCAATCCACGCCGAACCGTCCGACTCAGCAACATCTTCACCTTCAAGGATTACACGATATGCTGGGATTCGATGTCCCCACCTGCAAACAAGAACAGAGGTTAGACAGCAAATCAGCTGGCGTTTTCGGGGTAGCTTACCAGAGTTGTCTTGAGATACACCAGTCATTTACCGAAGACATCCAGCGGCGGTACGATTTGTTGGCGCTCTCGGGACTGATCTTGATCTCGCCCTTGTCCACAACTTCCAAGGCGGCGTCTGCCATCCCCTTCATCTGCATCCACCATTGAGGTTTGATGATTGGCTCAATTACATCCTTGGACTTCTCGCAGAGCGGAATTTTCATCGGGTTTGGTTCCTTCTTGACAAAAAGTCCCAGTTTGGTCAGTTCTTCAACGACGGTGTATCTGGCATCAAAGCGCCTCTGGCCTTGGAACTTAGGGCCGGCGTTGGCGTTCAGCGTGCCATCATCGTTCAGGATGTTGATAAACTCGAGCCCGTGAGCTTTGCCCATCAAATAATCGTTGGGGTCATGGGCCGGCGTCAACTTGACAGCACCAGTACCAAAAGCGGGGTCCACGAACTTGCTGTCTGCAACAATTTTCAGGCGGCTAGGGAGCGTTAGCAATGACATGAAAGCTCTTCCGTGGACCCGAGATCAAGGCCTTGGGAAAACAGTGAAGAAACGGAAAAGTAGGGGGGACTGGGATCGACATAGGCTCCAGACATACCGATCTACAAACGGATGTATGGCGTATTTGCCAATGAGATGGGTATAACGCTCGTCGTCAGGATGCACCGCAATGCCTGTGTCACCCAACATCGTCTCTGGACGGGTCGTCGCGACCTCAATGGTCATGTCCGTGCCTTCGATTTGGTACTTGAAGTGCGTGAGAACACCAAATTCGACCTTCCGCTCGTATCCGGGGACGGTAAGCATCGTGCGGCCAGTGATCTCCCTGTTCTCCACCTCCAGGGTGCTCAGGGCCGTGTTGAGGGCGGTGCACCAGTTAACCAGCCGACTGGACCTGTAAATAAGACCCTCGTCGTGCAAGCGACAGAATGTTTCGGCAGTAGCCGCACTCAAGTTCTTATCCATGGTGAAAGCTTCCCGAGACCAGTCCATGCTTCCTCCCATGAGCTTCTGGGCGTTGTTTATGCGCTGGTGGTACTCATCTTTCCAGACCCACACCTTCTTGACGAACTCCTCACGGCCCAAGTCGATGCGCGTCTTTTGCTCCTTTTTCCATAACATCTTCTCCACAACGGACTGTGTGGAAATGCCGGCATGATCACAGCCAGGTACCCAAAGCGTGGTGAAGCCCCTAGTAGGAATTAGTCAAGAAAAAGCCAACGAGGCATCACCCGCGCACTCCTCCAGCTCACCTCATGCGATGCCACCTGATGAGAGTATCTTGCAGCGAATTGGCTAGCGCATGGCCACAATGGAGCGCGCCAGTGACGTTTGGCGGTGGCAGAGGAATGACAAATGTGCCGGCGGCATCTGAGCCCTGTTTGCAGGCCTCGGGTTTGAAGAAGCCGCTCTTCTCCCACCATTGGTACCAGGCAGCCTCGACGGCGCTTGGATTATAGGCGGAGAAGTGAGGATGGTCAAAGGAATGGAGAGCTTTCTTTTCTCCAAGAGGCGTGTCGTTTTCGAAGGGCGGGAGAGGAAGTTGGGACTCGGCCTTCGAGGACTGAGGTTTGGATTTTTCCTGGCTCGGCTTCTCCTGCTTTTGCTTGTTTTGTTTCGCGGCGTATCTTGCTGCCTTTTCAGCAGCCTTTTCAGCTTTGAGCTTTTCCTTCAACTCTGTGGGAAGCAATGGTGTCAGCCAGCAGTCTCTTGCACACGCAGACTATCATAGTAGAAGTTGGGGTATCACCATTCTTGGAGGAACTCGAAGGTGCCGCCATCTTGAGGTTCCTGCTAAGAATCGCATGCGGTACTCGTACGGACGATCTAGTGGTAACGATGGGGCGGGCAAGGATAATAAAGCCGCGCTGGAAGTTGTGGACGCTGTGTCGGGGTCGTGGCCACAGCATGTAGCCTGAATTTTCTCGGCGCGGAAAGTACGATGAAAACTGCGGCAGCAAGCGGGGTGGAGGGGTCGTTGCCGGCGAGGGGAGCGGGGGGTACGTCCAGTGAGTGACTCAGCCTCTCTCCACGGGCTACTCGCTCGGTATGACTCTTATTAAGTGTCAATCGGTCCTTCGCATCGCATACCAAAGTACCACTCAGTAAGGTAGCGTGTCAATCTCCGTAACGTCTCTGTATCCGTAGTACTTTGCTTCGTCAAATGCGTGTGGCGATGTTCGAGAACCCCGGTAACAGATTATTGGAACTCCTGGTCGTGCAAAGTAATTACTATCCGTACTTTGTACGGAGTATTATATGAAGGTTCGATGATTTTTTAGGGGATCATTATTCTTTCTATCCATTAATGATCAACTTCTATCACTACGAAATTACCTATATCTAATGACTTGACTTGGTCAATCCAAGGCATCAATAATCCGTACCGAGCTCACGTGCCTGATAAAGATACCGACCCTGGAAGAGTTGCTTGTATGGGGTGGAGTATAGGTAGAGACATTCTTCATGTCAGGTACTTCCTACGCGTGAGTTCGCGTCCTGATTCCAGGTACCAGCTACCTTAGACAACGTTCGCATTGCCAGGGATGTGAGAGGATAAATGTGTCATTTTCACTCTCATTCAATGCGGTAAGATACTCGACCATATAATAGAGTACCGGTCTTCCGCCAACCCCTGTTCGGTCTTCCGGGTCTTCTTAAACCCTTTCTGGATTAGATAATCCACTATATCTCCACTACCCGAAATTAGGTGGGTTTCCTAGGGGTCTCGATATATATAATTTAATCTAAGAAATAGTATACAGGTTACCTTAGCCTGTTATTACCGTAAGAACTTAATAAACTCGACCTTACGCTAACTAGCGCTATACCGCTTATAATAAAAGCCCTATTTCTAGAAAGTTATCCTATTAGATAGCAGAGAATGAAAGTACCGATCTTAGATATTATCGCTTCGGTTATTAGATAAGCGCTCCGAATACTATATTTTAATTAGTTTATTTTAGAAAAGCCTAGTATTAGGTGCCTATAGCAGTGGTTATAATAGGACCCTAGTATAAACCTATAGGGGTCTAGGCGTATTCTTAGTCTAAGACCCCTTAAGGTATAAATAAAGCAGTTATTATATATAGTAAATAGAATAGTCCCTCGAAGTAAATAAGGCAGCCCTTAAGGAAGCAAATAAGTAGTCCTTAAGGGGTAGCGGAACGTAGTCTTAAGGAGCGGAGGAGCCTCCCCTTTAAAGAGAGAGGCTAGCGATTAATCTAACTCTTTAGCTATACCCACGTTCTGACTATATTATAATCCTATTATAATTATACCTAGTTCCTTGCTTAACCCTACCTTTTCACTCTTTACGACTACCTATTTAATATTGTAATCGCTCTACCCTTTAAGGGCGCGAAGACTATTAAGGAGAGTCACTAAGATATCTAACTATTACAAAATAAACGATCCTACCTTTAATGTTTACGAGGCTGCTAGTTAGTTCGAGCGATAGCTCCGAGATAGCGAGACCGCCTTTATAAACGACGCCTATAACTCCGCCGATAAGGAATATAACGGGAATATGCCGGGAACTAATACTGCCCCTATACCTACTACTATACCGGTACCTATCCTTATATCTACTACCGCTTCTATCCCTGTCGCTGGTATTACCTCTACTACTAGCCCTGCCTCTGCCCCTATTACTATCCCTATTCCTCCTATAACCACGATAGGATAGGCGTATAACCCTAATCTGCCCCTTTACGTAGACGTTAACCCAGCTATACTAACTAATAAATAACTAGATAAACGCGTTAAATAGATAAAGATATAGAACCACTGTAAGCGTAAGCTCGCGTACCTTACTAAGCTAGAGGCGGATACTACCGCCGCTATTACTACCGCCGCCGCCGCTATTAATCCTAACCCGGCTAATATTACCTATTATCGTATAGCTAAGCCTTAGCGCCGTATTATCGTAACCCTAATAGGATCCTAGTATACCCACGATATATTTATAACGTCTTCTATACACGCATCCGCTATATAGGCTAAGTTTAATTTCCCTTTACCTAAATAGGATAGCGTATCCTAGGCTAAGTATCGTATATTTATCTAGGAGATAAATTAGCGGTTTAACCTAGATTCCTAGTCCTTCCCCACGGATACTATAAAGAATTACTTTATTATATCGTGCCTCCCCTATTACCTTAAGGAACGCTAGTAGGCTAAACTACGATATAAGTACGATAGCGACTTTACTAGAGTTAGCTAGGCCGCCCTATAAGCCTGGCTATCCTGTTAGGTTAACGATAACGATACCCGCCTACGAGAAGTAGCGGTATAGATCTAAAGCGAGTCTATCTTATTCTAAAGAGAGGGAGAGTCCTACGCTAAGTTTATATAATAGTGGGAAGCCCTAGAGTCGGAATTACCGGGAGAGCTCCCGGACTAGTAAAGGATTTAGATAGTACTAATAAGGGTCCTCCTACCTATTCGGGACTATATAGTGTCTATAGGGGTTCTTAAGGACTATTAGGACCTGGCCCCGGCCTATTATAGGGCTTAAGGCTTTAACTATTACTAATGGTCTAGCCGTCGCTCGGGCAGACTTCTAGTCCGCTACCTAATAACGCCGCCACCGCTTATATACCCCTGCCTATACCCCTGCTTCTACGCCTGCTTCCGCGCCTATATCTATACTTATACTAGCCTCTGCCCCTAGTTATCCTATACACCCTAGACCGTTATCGTATCTTAACTCTATCACTTACTATAACTATAACTAAAAGGGGTATTACACTATTATATGCCTTAGTTCTCGGGTATAGCGCTTAAGCATGAGTAATAGTAACCCGAATGCCTAACCGGTATCTATATCTCGCCCTATAGTCGGCCGTGTTACGGGCGAGATGCCTTAGGAACTATACCCGCGTCGGATAGCCCTTATTACTATACTAATAAAGGTATATATATCCTTTCGCTAAGGTAGGGAATAGGTGTAGATAGCGGCTCTCCTTAACAGAGGCGCTGATATTAACGTTTTGGATCGGTCCCTCCTAGGGCTTAGTTAGGTCCCTAAGGGGTCCCCGGTCCCAGTATCCTAGATTACGAAAGGATAAACGAAGATAACTCTCGGGTCTACTTATAGGATTATCGTCGTGATAGATTATTAGGGTCGAAAGAGGGTATAACGCGCTGAGTTCCACGTTATAAATCTTACGGGCGCGAAGATTATTCTAGAGAGGCCGTGGCTTATAGCCGTTAACCCTAATATCGATTAGTAGTATAGCACGTGGACCTATCCCTTATCCTACGTAGAGCTAGGCGTGGTTATATCCCTAAGAGAGCTATATAGGGTAGTTAGATAAGCTAAGTCTATCCTTACTCTAACCTATATAGGTTCTACGGGGGTTCTACGTATCGGCTATATCGGCCTAGCAGAAAGCCCTTTAATAGGATATAGAGATAAATTCTTAGAAGTCGCGGTACCCGTTACTACGCTGCCGGAATAGTATTAAGATTTCGCTAACGTTTTTAACGTTAAAAACGCCGGGAGGCTACCGACGTATTAGTAGTGGGACCACGCTATTAAGATCGAGGAAGGGAAGAAGCCTCCTTACGGTCCTATTTACTCCCTCGCCGTATAAAAGCTCGAGGTACTACGCTAGTATCTATAGGACGCCGTTACAAAGGGCTGGATTAGACCATCTACTAGTCTAGCCGGTGCCCTTATCCTATTTATCCCTAAGAAGGGTAGTAAGCTACGTCTTTATATTAACTATAGGGGATTAAATAAGGTGACTATTAAGGATCGTACCCCCCTCCCCCTTATCCACGAAATCTTGGATTAGTTATTATCGGCGTAGTACTATACTAAGCTGGATCTTAAGGACGTATACTATCGGCTTCGTATATGGGTAGGTGATAAATAGAAGACAGTATTCCGTACGAAATACGGCTACTACGAATACCTTATTATACCGTTCGGTCTTACTAATACGCTAGCGAGCTTCTAACGCTATATTAATTAAGCGTTAACGGGTCTTATCAATACTATCTATATAGTCTACCTCGATAATATTCTTATCTATAGTAAAGACCTAGCCACCTACCGTGTATACGTCCGCGAGGTTCGTACTAGGCTTAGGTAGTGGTCCCTATATACTAACCCCGATAAGTGTGAGTTTAAGACTAAAGACGTGGAATTCCTCGGATTTATCTATAGCCTAGATAGGGTACGTATACACCTATCCCACGTTAAGGCTATCCGCGACTAGGAGCTCTCTAATAGTATGAAGAAGATATAGATCTTCCTAGGTTTTACGGGGTTTTATAGACGTTTTATTCGGAATTACTCTAAGGTCGCCGCTCCTTTTATAGACTATTTAAAAGGGGGCTACGCAGGGGTCCTTATACTTTCCTAGCAGGCTTAGTCTGTGTTTAAGGAGATGAAGCTGCTGTTCTAGAAAGCGCCCGTTTTACAGTATTTTAACCCTGATCTGCCGATACGTCTTAAACTAGATGCTTCTGTTTTTACTATTAGCGCTGTTATTAGCTAACTCGAGGATGGCTTATAGTGCCCTATAGCGTTTATATCCCGTAAGCTACGCGGGGCTAAGCTTAATTATAGTACGCCCGATTCTAAGCTTATAGCTATTATCGAGTCTTTTCAGACGTGGCGTTACTACGTGGCCTATAGTTAAAGCCTTATAGTTATTCTAATAGACTACCTAAACTATCGTTATCTGCTAGATAAGCCGAAGCTTAAGGGCTAGCACGTATAGTGGCTTAAGGAGCTTGCCCTATTTAATTTTGAGATTCGGTATTA